CTGCCACCAGAGTCTTGGGATGCTCTGCCACGGCTAGTCCCGGAGTCCTGGGTTTTTCTGCCTAGTATTGCAACTGAGGCAACGGTTTCTCTTTCTCTCACTGAGGCGTCGGTTTTCTTGTTGGCGGTGGTCATTCTGCCTGAGTTGTCTGCATTCTCATCCTCTTCCATCTCATCAATATCTTCCAACTGCAAATCATGCTTCTGCAGCGCTGCAGCACCTGGCGCAGGTACAACGGGATCTGTCTCCATCTCCTGCAGGGACAAACTCGGTTCACTGACACTAAGTTACCTGCAACTTAGTTAGCCCAGGTTCCGCCCAGAGGGCCCCACCTTTCAAAACAGGGTGCGCCAGTCCCAGGTGCACTCCTCTGTGATCTCCTCTCTCCCAAAGACTTCCCAGAAGGAGCTCAGGACCGCTGGCTGGCTCACAAACAGAAGCAACACGACCACCTCATCAAGCCACTCGACCACGAGTTCGATCTAAACATCGACCAAGCAATTTTCGCTATGGTGTTGCCTGACTCTTCCAAAACAAGCATGGTGTTGCCTGACTCTTCCAAAACAAGCAATTTGCGTGAAGATTCTCAATCATGAATCGAGCTTCAGAAACCCTGAACAGTTGACCCTCACCGACCCCACCTGGCAGATGGTGTGGAAGACCGACATTCCTTTCCACCCGCTGGCATCGTAAATGATGCCACCGATCGTCACGGAAGAAGCCACGGCGAAGGTGAACACGGCGAGCACCGTGGAAGAGGCCTGCCGCGCCACATCTTCCGAGAGACCAAAGATGTCGAATGCAACGCCTGCAGAAGGCAGTTTGGGGTGACCAGCAATACAGCAATCATCGGTTCGGAACCGAAGATGACAAGAATCCTTTTTGGTTAAAGTATGGGGTCAAAAGTATCAAATGTTTAAAAAGCGGGTCAGAAGTGGGAAGAACACCCACCTCGCCTTCAATGATCATCGAAGGGTCCAGTGCTTGAGTGCTGGCCACTTCCAGGATCACTGCTCACTCCTCACAGGCAATTGCTGACAAAACCAAAGACGGCATTTTGAGTGAACCATTTTACCCCTGGGTAGTGAATTCCAAGTCGGTCTTTGTAGTGCCCTCAGAATCGGTGAACCCGACCTCTTGATTTTTGGCTCCCCAAAAAAGAAACCCTGGGACCCTCTGGGACCCTCTGGGACCCTCTGGGACCCTCTGGGAATGTTGGAGGATTGGGCCGGGATTTCTTGGGTGATGGGAACGGGTGGGAGTGGGATGGGCCAGGCAAATGCCTTCTCGAGTCCAGTCATGAACCATTTTACCCCTATGGTAGTGGTGGATTATGACTGACTACCAGGTAGAGTAAAATGAGTAAAAACGGAAATTCTGGGGATGCCACATCGTCTTCAGTTCTCCTTCGGTTTTTGAGTCCGACTAGAAGATTGCCATTCGTTTCATGGGACAACCACCTTGCAAAGAGCAAAGAGCAACTGGAACCTCTGTTTCACTCGTGGATCTTGCCACGCAATACCCTCCAACATCTGGCTCCCGGCCTCAGTGCTATAGATGACGCCAATGATCGCAGCCGCCAAATGCAGCAGGCCCAGTGGCACCACCACCCAAAAGCCTCGACAAGGTTGGCCCACGGGTCAGATGCCGATGACTGGTGCCGGCGGATCCTTGAATCAATTATCTACAACCTGAGATCTGTTGGTGGTGTTTCTGCTGTTTTGGGCCCCACAAGCAGAGATGGCAGAGCTTCGAGAGCCTTGAAGCCTCGCATCTGCACCCCTGATCCTCTGTTGCCCGAGAAGGCACTGCTACAAAAATGCGAGAGAAGAAAAGAAACATCGAGTCTGATAGAATCCACCGCCAACAAAGGTTCCTCAGCGTGCAAACAAGCGCACTCAATTCGTTCGATTCAGCTTCAGCCCCACCCTAACAAATCAGACTAGTAAAGGCCCTCAACAAATCAACTGACACCCAAATCCTACATCTGGCCTCCCCGCATCATGACTTGCTGAAAGATCAAACGTGAGGTAAAACCAATACAGCATGCCCATCCGGCCCTTGAAATAGGCCAGCCCATGTCCACATAGTGAAGAGAGATGCCGGCCCATGCATAGCCATTGTTGAAGCCATTAAAGAGGGGTAGGAGAATGCAAACAGCCAAGTAGTTCCATGACCATCCAAGATCCTCTTCCTCGTCAAAATCATCCAAGTCCAGGTCCTCTGAGGTGACACGATCCCCAATCTCCACATCTTTTGACATCGAGGCGAAGGCAACACGCTACTCTACATAGATGTGTCTGGACAATCGTCCTTGAGCATACACAGCTCTGTAAGCTCTGTGTGAATCCGACCCCAAATCTGCTAGGGCAGGTCAAACGCAAGGCGCGAATCATGTGACCTTCTGTCCCCACACATGATTCGAACGGACAGGCCATATGTCTACAAACCGTCGACCCGACCCGACTAGAGGTCGATCCACCAAGGAAGAGACCCGACCCGACCACGTTCACGACCCTGGCAGTGAGGGTACTGGTATATACACCCCTGGGGGCTCCTGGCCCACCTCCGTTTCGAAGGTGGTTGGGGTGGGCGCCAGGGGGGTCTAACCACCGAACCTGAGGATATGGTTGGAGCCCTAGGGACATGACATCATGCAAAGTCTTGGGCACTTTGAGTCTCTGATCCACGCATTCCCCATTTCGTTGGCTGGGCCGATCATGTGGCTTTTGTTCACCAAGAAAGAAATCCCGTTTCTTCGATCATGGAAAAAGTCTTGCTTTGAAAGCTGGCGGTCTTTTGGTAGGACCACTATCAACACACGTGCAAAGTTCAGCTCCAATCTCCAGCCGTGGGCCAGCAAAACGCCCCCCACAGTCGCCGTGATCGACGCCAATGCTCCATGTGGTGCGATCGCGAAAAGGTGTTCAAAAACTTAAATGTTTTGAAACCCGCCAGGAGTCACAAAGGGGTGGTGTTTGGTCCCTAAGTGAGTGGATAATGGGCACCCCTAACCTCCAAGTTTGGCACCCCTTTGTGACTGCTGGCCGTTCTCTTTTTGAGGGCGACGCTTCCCACGCATTGTGGAGTCACCATGGAATCCAACTGCTGACCGTGAGCCCTCCGACCACAACTTCTCACTCAGGTGAACATTTAAAGGCAACACAATATGTTTTAGAGCAGTTCCACCGCAAAAGTTCCGGCATCGAAGACAAAAACGGACTGCCTTGGAGGCATGTAATAGTTTCCATCATCTGTGGACATGTGGAAAAAACTAACAGGTAGAAAACCAGACACGTACTTATAGGTCCAACATTCTTCGGACTGGTCGAAAACGGCTGTGGTTCGGGAGTTCCCTGACTCCTGTCCACCGGTTTCGTGGGGCTTCAGACACAGGCAGTGGGCAGTGGGCAGCCGTCCCAAAGAAGGTACATGGTGAACCACTGGAATCCACCTCCAAACCGTTTTCAAGTTGAAACCACGGCAGCTACCGATCAAAGAAGAACAGTTATGCTGCCGAATGGCGGACGTGTGCCCCCCGTGTGATGCTGAAAAAAGGACCTGAGGTACGGGAAAAGTGACCTGTGTCTCATGGACGTGATACCACTGTACTCTGCTGGAGCATTTGTCACGCTGCCTTCATGTTCCAACTGTCAAAGCGCCAAAGAAATCTGCAAAGATTACAGGATCACCCTCAGCTGACAATTGATTGCGAGCAAGTCTTTCTGATGAGACCGGTCCCGGTCTCAAACCATTCCAGTCATGTCCACTGCGGCCGACCCGAACTCGGCCAACCCGAACACCGTCCTCTACGGGGGTCGAAAACCCCACAGTGGAAGCGACGGTCCGCGGTCCACGGTTTCAAAGCCCCAGCACAAAGCTCAAGTTGTTTGGCACTGGTCAACGACTCAACCCATCCCAACGGGTCCGGCATAGCTTGAACTCTGGTCCAGCCAAAAACCCACGTTTTAGCACCACTCTGGACGCAGTTTCTCGCTACATGTCCTCAGCCTGCCTCAAACAAAAGAAGTCCAACCAGCCTGTTCCTTCATCCTCGAACATGGTCCATCAGTTCAACCAACATGTCGGACGTGATGCGGGTCAAGATAGAGGACCAAAATGAGTCTAACCTCAAGAGTTCCTGATCCTCTCAGCGACACGGAGTATCAAGCTCCTGTTCCTAGAAGAGGCGCAGACCTGAGGCGCCTCACACAAGCGAGCCTCAGGTCTGCCACGTGTTTCCCCGAAGGAACTGTTGGGCAGGTAACCCCGGTCTCTGGTTCAGATCCCCTTGCCAACCAAGCACACAATTGTACCCGCGTCAACTCCAGCTGTTAGTTGGTGGTGGGCGGCCGCAGGCCTCTCTGCCTTGGAAAGCACCGCAAACAGCAGGACTGCAGGACAACCGAAAAACCAGGACATGAGGAGGACAACCGAAAACAAAAGGATGAGCCAAGGAAAACAACATGAACACATCAAAAGGACAAAAAAAGGCCAACGCCAAAAGGACAAAGGGCCAACGTGAGGACAGCACACAAAGAGGAGAACGGAGAACAAGAGGAGAACAGGAAGAGAGGGCAACAGAAAATACACGAGAAGGGGAGGAGCACGACCGTAGATGGACCCGACAAGACATTTCTACAAGTGATTAGAGGAGAAGAGGAGGACATCCGGACAGGGCTCGCTGGTGCTTGGCGCTGTGGCCAGTTTCTCTTTTCCGACGAGAGAACAGCGTTGCCACGTTCACATGCTGACGGTCTTCGTGCTTGCCGGCTCACACTCCCCACGCTTTGATGGCGCTTGGGAACGTGCTTGGCGCAGTCATCTTAACTCCAGCAAGTGGACAAGAGGAGAACAGGACAAGTGCACCAGAGACCCCGAACAGGTCAGTCGGTAAGGCCTGTTGTTCCCTGCCTCGCAAAGCATTGCAAAGAGCACGACAGCAGGAGGACAAGAGGACAACTAGAGGACAAAGAGATGAAGGACAAGAAGAGGATAAGAGGACACAAGGTTGTCCAGCGCGGCCAGAAGGCAACAACAGGACAAAACAAGAGAAGGACAGAGGAGGACATAGGGTTGGCCAGCACGGCTAGAGGACAACAGCAGGACAAAGGAGGAGGACACGGGTTGGCCAGCGTGGCGAGAGGACAACAGCAGGACAGGAACACAGGAGAAGGACAAGAGGAGGACACAGGGTTGGGCCAGCGCGGGCAGGGGACAACAGGACAAGATCCGGACACAGAGTTCAGGACACGGCCAGCCAGTGTGGCCAACCCTTTTTCCTAAGAGAGAACCCCCACCAACAAACTGTTTGGGGAACAACAGGAGAAAAGCAAAAAGGAGGAATTGCACCCGCATAGGCCCCAAACAGGAGCGCCACAGCAGGAGGACATGAGGACAACAGAGGACAAAAAGATGAAGGAAGAGGCGGATAAGAGGAGGACAGGGTTGTCCAACGCTTCAAGAGGAGGAGGAAGACACAAGGTTGGCCAGAGGACAACAGCAGGACAAGAGGAAGACGAGAGGATGACAGGGGAGAGGACTGGAAGACAAGACCCAGACACAGAGCCCGGGCGCACACAAAGTTCAGGGGCGCGGCCAGTGTGGCCAGCCCTTTCCTAAGAGAGAACCGCAACAATAAACTGCGTGGAAGAAAAACAACGGAAAAAAGAGGACAATACGAGAGGAGGCCTGGAGGCAGCCGCAGCCAAGCTGGTGTTAACAAAAGGACAACAGGAACACAAAAGATGTTAAAATACTTCCCCACATCACTGTGTGGGGTTCTTGTTCCCCACATCACTGCGTGGGGTTCTTGTTTTTCGCTCTGCGCCCGCCACTCCGTACCCATGACAGCACTCCACCCTCCTCCTCCTCCGCCCTCCTCCTCCATCTTTTACCACTCATCTTACACCACTCATCTTACACCACTCATCTTACACCACGCATCTTACACCACTCATCTTACACCACTCATCTTACAACACTCATCTCACACCACTCATCTCATGCCACTCATCTCACACCACTGATCTTACACCATTCATCTTACTCGTCTCATCTTACACCACTCATCTTATACACCACTCATCCTACACCACTCATCTTACAACACTCATCTTACAACACTCATCTTACACCACTCATCTTACACCACTCGTCTGACACAACTCATCTTACACCACTCACCTTACACCGCTCATCTTACATCACTCATCTTAGACCACTCATCTTACACAACTCGTTTTACACCACTCATCTTACACCACTCATCTTACACCACTCATCTTATTCCACTTATCTTACTCCACTCATCTTACTCCACTCATCTTACACCACTCATCTTACACCACTCATCTCGCACCAAACATCTTACTCTCCACACATGGTGATCGTCCACAGACAATACTCAGCGGAATCAAAACTCCGCGCATAGCCAGTGTCTATTGGCCACATTTGGTACGTCCAAAGCTTCCAGTCCCACTCAAAACCAGTGCGCGTGGGCCGCTAGGCACGCTTGACTCCAACACTGCTCCAGCTTCAAACCAGAACAAGTTGTCAACAAAGGCTTCTTCAAAGCTTTCTTTCCCACATCCAGCTAGGAAAATGCACCCACGAAGATGCAAAGGTCACGACGTCCACCGACCCAGACTTTCACACCCCCTTTTTGGCGTGAACTTGCAGCGTTCCAATGAACTTCACTTCAAAGGTTCAAACATGGGGGTTCACCTTCATGAATTCCTTGAAAATGCTGTGTTCCAGACTGCAACCTCGTTGCGCCATGAAGAACCAGCTACAGACTGCAACTCAAAGCTGCGATGCCACAAAAGTCGAACTCTTTGGAAAACCCATCGAAGACTGCCATTCGTTGCGCTATGAAAAAAACCGCGCGCTACAGACTGCCACTTCGTAGTGAAATTCAGCTGGCTGCAACAAATCGCGTGTCTTTGAGGCCAATGCACCATTCTCACACGTCGCGTTCACGACTTGTACTTTCGCTGCAACTTGCAGCGCCCATGATCTCATCGGCCTTGTCTCTCCAAGTCACTGTGCCTCTTGCTTCAATGCAGGCACAGCGAACCAAGCACTCTCCCAACCGATCATTGTAGCAGGGCTGTAGTGGCAATTCACAGAATGGAACCCTGCATGCGAAGTCTGACGTCGACACACACCAAACTCTTTATTCAATTTCATCCGTTGTGGTGATCCCCAACACCTTTCCAATCGGCTCCCTTTCTTTGCACGAGCTCCAGCGGCACACTTTTT